TGTTGTGGTAAACAAGGTCTCTCAGACCTGTTCAAGGCTGGGGGAAGGGCACAATTTGGCTGCTTGTGACCATGAAGAAAACAATTAAAATCTTAAGAGGAATCATCTTCAAGAAGGGTAAGGAGTTTAGGTACAAATGAAAAAAGATCAGACCAGAGGCAGACATTGCATCCTAAAACTCATTAGTTCATTAGTTTAATAGAAGAAATCTGTGGAGGAGGCATGTTGTACTTCTGGAGATAAAATCTGGGAGAGAAAACTACATTATGAAGGAAGTGGTAGACTTTCTCACTTTACAAAATGTTGAAGAAAGCCATCTCAAAAACATTACTGATGATAGAGAATCTTTGTTTGAGAAGGAAGTTAAGACAAAAAAAAAACTATATAAAGCATTCCTCCATATGTTATGAAATACACATATTATATTATAGTTCTGAAATTCTAGGACAAGGAAAGTTGTTATATAATTATCCTGCTGATATTTAATACTTTCAAGTTAAAATACTATTTTCATATGTTAGATTTTCAGTTTATTTACTTTGTCTATCATTCAATAATATAAATGTGGAGATGTGGGTTAGAGTACACAGGAAACAATAATTAGAAAATGTAAATCTCTCAATGTAGATATAAAAAACATATGTTGCTCATATCGATTAAAAATAACTTTAACACGATGGGTGATTCCAAATAACGGTGCTTATATTTTCAACATGTAGTATATAAAAATAATACACTCAAAAGCCTGTCTTTCATTCATACTATTTCTGTATATTTTCTTGCACTAAGAATGATTCATTAAGTGATGATTATTCTATGATATTTGGTGTTCTAGTAGCATTGGAGATAGAGAACTATATTTACTACCAAAGGGAAAAAAGATCATTAAAATTTTAATTTGTTTCTCAACAATTCAATTAGAATATGTTTAATGTACTGGACACATAACCTTGAGGGATTTAACACAATTATGAGACTTTTCCAATCTATTTTGCTCTCTTGCATTCATTTTCTTAGAAGACTGGGTATTTGTGACTGCTTTAAGATCACTCTAACCTCTCAAATGCTTCAGAATGTTTAATTATCACTTATTTTCTTCTTTCTGTTTTTGGATGTCTGGTGAGAATACTTTTAATGTAACAGAACAGCAATTTCACAGTAGGATATTTGTGCAATACAATTCAATAGACACCTACTTACTTATGTTGGTATATTCAGGCTGGTAATGCACTCGGCATTCATGTATGCAGTCATAGATATACTGCCTTCAGTAAATCCATTTGATCACAATATTCTATGTATTGCCAGAAGCTAATAGTGTAGGTCTGATTTGGCAATCTAACCCAGATCCATAGATATGTACCCCACTCTGCTGACATGTCCAAAAGTTTGGATCTCTAAATACCAATGAAATAATCATTATTGTAATCCATTTCTTGTTTCTAACTTGAAAAACATAAAGGAGCAGTCATAAAACTTTATTTTTCCACTCACATCTCATTTGTAAATGCTAACGCTCCTTATTCCTATTATTTATACATGTTATCCTTGTTTTTCACTGAAACTTGGTTACCTATGTCTCAATACTCTCAGAAGCCCATTAGAAGCCCAGTGTACTTGGACGTTAAATAGTTTAAAAAACTATCTTAGAAAGTTAAACAGAATATGAACAGATATGTTCTTTCTTTATGTTCTTATCAATGATCTAAGAAGCTAAATAAATAGTATATCTGAATATGAAGAAACATGAGATACTATGGACTAATAAGCAGAAGTGCAATGTGTTTACGGATTGTATACTTGTCATTAAGGCTAATGAGTGTAATTTCATTTGAGCATGATGAGGCAGCGTTTAGGTGAGCGTTTTGAGATTATCATTTCAGAACATCATTGTTCTGAAGAGATAACAAGGGTCAGGACTTTAAACCTCTGTGATCAGGCGTTTATTCTATTTGTAATCTCCTTGTTCTCTTAGTACATCCTTAGTCTTCACTGTGCACTACCCATCTTTCTTTTTCTCTTCTTTCTCCACTTCCTTTATTTTCTGTTTTCCTTTGTCTTGTCTGGTCTAATATTTTGACATATTTTAAATGAAGTACTTTAAGAATTAATTAAAATCAATATTTATAAATCTATGTCTCAAGGTATGGATTTAGAAGAATAAACTTAAACCAAATAGTTTTATATTTGAAGGGTTATAACATAAAACTATTTCTAAATCTTAGTTAAGGATATATTTATTATAATAAAATACTGTGTAATATAAAATAACATATAGTATAATAGTTAATTCTGTGGCATTATAAGCTACCACTGTTTCTTCAGAAAATTCAATTGTTGATGTAAAATATAATTATTAAAGATCGTCTGAATAGGTTTTCATAAATCTATGTTAAATATTTATAAAAATATGTACATATAGTGCTTGTTTTATTCTGATATTTTTGTTGAATTTGAGCAGTTTCTGGGCCTCAACTCTGGTGCTTGACATTAAAATACTAAAATCAGGGTATGATAAACTTACAAAATAAAAAAAAATGGAAGTTACATGTTGTACATCCAAGTACAGTCATTAAACACTTAAACAGAAATAACAAACAATAAAATGTGACATTTATTAGGAAAAACGTGCATATCAGTACTGCAGTAATTTGAATATGAATATAGAAACAATATTGCTAGGAAACACAGACATTAATAGCTGTTAATTAGAACACATCAAAAAGAAAATAGAAATGAAGACAGCAAGTTATTGAACTTACTCATAAAGAGCAAACACTAATTTATTCAATGTTGTTACTGTTAATACAATTTGCAGCAGTGGACAAATCAATGTTAATTGAATTCTTAACAAAACACATGTAAGGAGTAACTCACCGTGTTATGAACTGTGAGTACATATAAAGAGGCATCTTTGAATTACCTAATGTAATTTAGTGCTCAAATGTAATCAATTGACATAGAGAGAATAAATTAGTTATGTCCCAATTCTTCGTTCTATTTCCACATTTTTTCATTATACAAACAATTCAATAAATATCAAACATTTGTTGCTGAATTAATGTTATTTTTCTCCTCTGGTAGCATGCAGAATATCTTCCAGTACAATGAAAATTGTCTATACAGGTTATAAGGCTCTATGAAGAGACCAGCTCAACCTAACTGTCTTTAATGAGTTGTTTAGTTATTGTCTTTAGACATAGGATCTACTACTTACTTGATTTTTGGAAATCAACTAAGGCCTTGACAAGCTTGGGTTGTTTGAAGGTTTCCATGGGTCCCCTTTGGCTAACAACCCCATTAGATGTTATCCATTATGAGCAATAGATGTTTCATTTGGTGCCAAGAGATGTCTTGTTGTAGCTATGTCTGCCCCATTATTTGCCCTGTATTTGGTGATTCCATTTATATTCCTATCATATTTGTAGATATATAAAGATGCTTCTGTGGTATGTTCATATATGACCCTTCGATTACCTTTAGTTTTAGCTGTCCCTTTCTCTATGCTCCCAAAATGTTCATACCTACCCCTCTTCATTCTCGTTCCTCACTTCATCCATCCAAACTAGTCTACTTCCCATTTCTAGGGAGGTCCTTTCCTACCACTATTACTTTATATCTAACCTTTGAATCTGGGTTACCTCACTCAGAATGAATTATTTTAATGTTATTCATTTACCTGAGAATTCTATAATATTTTTTATAGCTAGAGTATTGATACTTTTGTGTACAAACAACCGCTTCGTGTCTCGCATCATCTACGTATGATGTGTCACATCATGTAGAAATAGTTACTCGTGCAAGTATTTTCTTAAGTTATCTAGTGCCTCACTTGTATAGTTTACATGAGGGGTGCCATCATTGGTGTGAACCCAGTGGTGCTGTAAGGAATAGTATTGCTTGGAAACGTAGTTGTTTGTTTGTTATGGTGTAGTTTTTCAATTTACAGTTAAGTCAGTTTCATATGAACAACTTAGAGAAGAAACTGAGAATTATCAAAATATGATATACTCTTTTATGAAAGTGGGTAAGAAAAAATAAATTATTAAAAATGTTCATACTGAAGTGACTTTATTGATGTCAAATGGAGGAAGGAACTGAAAAAAGCAGCCACTAAGAAAGTATTAGGAGACTCCATACCCTGGATGTTTGCTCAACAGTTAACACCCAATGAGTTCTCAACTATACATTTTCCAGCTTTATTTTTTATTGGATATTTTCTTTATTTACATTTCAAATGTTATCCTCTTTCCTGGTTCCCCCCTCCCTGAAACTCCCTATCACATTCCCCTTCCCTTGCTTCTATGAGGGTGTTTCCCCACCCACCCTCCTACCCACTCTCTCCTGCCTCCCTGCCCTTGAATTTCCCCTATACTGGAGCACCGAGCCTTCACAGGACCAAGGGCTTCTCCTCCCATTGATACCTGACAAGGCTATCCTCTGCTACATATGCAGCTGGAGCCATGGGTCCCTCCATGTGTACTCCTTGGTTGGTGGTTTAGTGCCGGGGAGTTCGGGTGGGATCTGGTTGGTTGATATTATTGTTCTTCCTATAGGGTTGCAAACCCTTTCAGCTCCTTTAGTCCTTTCTCTAACTCTTCCATTTGGGACCCCTTTGTGCATCCTGTACTCAGTCCAGTGGTTGGCTGCGAGCATCTGACTCTGTATCTGTCAGGCTCTGGTAGAGGCTCTAAGGAGACAGCTATATCAGGCTCCTGTCAGCATGCACTTCTTGGCATCCACAATAGTGTCTGGGTCTGGTGACTGTGTATGAGATGGATCCCCAGGTGGGGAAGTCTCTGAATGGCCTTTCCTTCAGTCTCTGCTCCACATTTTGTCTCCATATTTGATCCTGTGAGTATTTTGTTCCACTTTTTTTTTTTTTTTTTGCTTTTCTAAATGCTCTGTGATTATTTCATTCTCCATACAACCTCTGAAGTAAGACAAACATTTCAGAGATACTGAAGTCCTAGGACGTGAAGGAGAGGGGACTCGTGTCTTCAGTCTTTCCAACAGTTACGGTCACCTTCATCGATAGAATACCAGTCACCATCAATCACCACGTAGGGCTTGATCGACTGCACTTCCTCCAGCTGTTTTCTCACCTGGGCATAGTACTGCTGCTTCCAGAGGTCAATTATCGACAGGTTAGTGGCAGGGCACTGGAACGCACAGCACAGCTTCAACATCCCTGATGTACTGAAGTCATTCATTACCAAGTTCAGGCTCTTCAGGTTCGAGTTACAAATTATGACCGAGGACAATGCCTCACAGCAGTTGGAAGTCAACTCACACGCCCCCAACCCAAGTCTCCTCAGGGAGCTGGTACTTTGCTTTAGTCCCTCGCACAGGGCTATGACTCCTTCGTCACCCAGGGCATTGTTTCCAAGATCCAAGCTTTTTAAGTGCTTGGCTATTGAGATCATGCAGGCCAGGTCCTCATAGCACTTCTCCGTGAGCTGGCAGTCCACTAGTTCCAGGTCTTGAAGGTAACAAGTCGGCTCCTTTAAAGCTTCACACAGTAGCTTCACTGCATTATTCCCTACAGGGTTCATGGACAGGCTCAGGTGCGTCAGCTTTCTGTAGTTTGAAAGTATCAATGCCAGGAAACCGTAGGCATCGTCTACAATGTTGCAGTGATTCAGTATCAGCCGCTGGAGAGCAGATTCTGGATTCTTCATGAACTAACACAGCTGTTGCACTTCTTTAGTCCCAGGTTGTTGTTTGACAGGCACACGTGAGTCAAGTTCTGGTTGCCTGAAAGGGTTGAGGGCAGAATGTGGCAGATGACAGGTGTGAAGTCACAGCTGTCCAGTATCAGCATCTTCAGTGAACACTTGGAGCTCCTTAAGGCGTCCCTGAGGGATATCATAGTATTTACTCCCACCTTATTTCTGGCCAGATTGAAACACTTTAGGCTGGTGGTTGAAAGAAGGAGTGTGGAGATCATCTCATAACCAGTGAGGGTTAACTCACAGGCATCCAACCTCAGAGTCTCCAGGGAGCACCTTGGATGTTTCAGTACATCACAAGCTAACCTCATGTCATCATCCTTCCTGGGTGCGCTTCCTAGATTGAGGTACTTTAAGTTCGGATTGCTAACGACCCTCCAGAGATATTGCAGGCCAGACACTATCTCTGCACTCTTAAACGTCAGCTTCTGTATACTGCAGGATGAATTCCCCAGTTTGAGGCACAGGGTCTCCATGGCCCATTTGTTCAAGACTCTGTTGCCCAAATCCAGCTCCTTCAAGTTTGGGTGGGTGCTGAGCACAGAGCAGAATTTTTCCCACCACTCTGTGAGGGGCTTACCTAGTTTCTTCTGGAAAAGAGAGGGCACAGCTCGAGATTATTATCCTCCGAGACGAGGTCTCTGATATCCACCCAGATTGCCTTCAAGTTCTGACATTGCTGGAGACAGTAGGAAGATATTGTCACGTCCATCTTCTGGTTAATCAAAAGCCACACTTCTTGGAAGCTGTTGAGAGCTATATGAACAAACTCTTCATCCTTAGACTCAAAGAGATAATAGAATGCGTATAGGGTGTCCATTGTGCTGGTGCCATTGACCTGCTGACCTATCAGAGAGACCCAGGGTTGGAGCTTCTGATTAACAGTCTGGTTCACGGGACATCCAAACAGAACCTCCAGAGTCCTCAAGATATCCTTGTTCATGAGACCAAATAAGAAACCATTCATTCTGAGGTGAATGTTGTTGGTTCTCTTCACCTCCATGATACTCTGTTGGTTTTTCATGAAGGAAAAATACCGATTCCATTCCCCCAGCCCTTCTAAAACATAATATAAGGGAGCAAAGAAATCCTGCAGGCTGAGGTGTAAGAAAATATAACCCTGCTCATTGCTGTGGCCAACCTGAAGAAGAATGTTCTTGTGAAAGAGGGCCGAGATCTCAGACTCCTTTAGGCTGTAGTTCTTTAGGTCATCATCATAGAACACTGACCTCATGGTCCACACTCCCTCAGCTGCCATCCTGCACAAACCCACTAGAGTAATTTGCTCTTCCTGACTGAGAGTGCCCTGGGAAGACCCTCTCAAGGTGGTCCACACTCCCTTAGCTGCCATCCTGTATAAACCCACTAGAGTAATTTGCTCTTTCTGACTGAGAGTGCCCTGGGAAGGCCCTCTCAAGGTGAACTGGTGGAACATCAAGGTGGCATACAAACCAGTGAGAGTCTGGCAGGTTAGGGTGCATTCCTTTCCCAGCTTCTTCTGCAGCTGTAGAGCTTCACAGACCAGTAAGCACATGGAGGGGGCCTGGCATTGGTTAAATAGCTGGTGATTTTCTATCACGGAACGGAAGACTTGCATTCTCTGGTAGTCATCAGAGAAATTATCGAGGACCAGCTGAGATCTCTTTGATGCAGACAGTTCTTCAACCAGTATATATAGGGGGGACACCACCATCGACTTGAGCTTTTCTAAGCCCGTATTTCTGGTAGTAATGATGAGAAAGGACTCGGGTAGAAGGGCCTTCCTCAGGAGGCTGTACAACAGGATGTATATGGGCTGTTCATCCTTCCAGTCTCTGGAGAGTGTCATATCATCGTCATCTTGGAGGACAGAGTCCATATTGTCAAAACCATCTATGACAAACAAGAGTCTTTCTGTTTGGGACATGATCTTTGTCACTGGAGCCCACGAGTCTGGCCACTCCTTGGCAATCAGCTGTGCCAAACTGCTCTTCTCTGTCCACTTTATTTCTTCAACAGAGAAGAAGATGACATAGGACATGTCTTGGTAGATGTTGGGAGCCGCGACAGGTGCTGACAAAGTCCGCCATCGCTAGGTGGCGCTGTCAGCCATAATTCTTCCTAGTAAACAAATAAAGTGCGCATGTGCCATGGTAAAAGCACGCCAAAGCTAAGCCCATCCCACGGCGTTTGGAGCGCTACGAGTAAGCAGCCAATGAGAGGTGATTACACTGCTCTAGGGTATAAAACAGTGCCTTTCTCCATCTTTTTCGTCTTCTGCCACCATTTTGGTTTATGGGAATAAACGTGTTTCTACGGAAGGATTCTGGTGTGTGTGTGTGTGTGTGTGTGTGTGTGTGTGTGTATGTTTTTGCCGGCGAGACGACTACACACGCGCGACTCACAGGTAGAGACATGGAGGCAGAGTTGGCTCTCTTTTTGCGGTGGTTGCTGGTTTGCAGAAAGTGGGATCTGCACTTAGAGAAAGCACAGTGAGCCCTCCAGGAAAAACAATTCGAAAAGACGGAGGATCAGAGCAGGAACTGATGTCAGAAAGCACAATGGCTACTCCAGAAAAAGAAAGTGGAGCAATCCAGAAAGACCTTGGATCAGAAAAGAAACAGACATCAGAAAGCACAAGGACTACTCCAGAAAAAGACAGTAGAGCAATCCCGAAAGACCTTGGATCAGAAGAGAAACTGACATCAGAAAGCATGAAGACTACTCTAGAAAAAGGCAGTAGAGCAATCCTGAAAGACCTTGGATCAGAAGAGAAACAGATGTCAGAAAGCACAAAGACTATTCCAGAAAAAGACAGTAGAGCAACCCAGAAAGACCTTGGATCAGAAGAGAAACAGATGACAGGAGACTTACTAGCTGAGGAACAAGATGCAGTGACAAAGACAGGTAACCTACAAGACTACAAGGCCCACGTGATAGCTAAATTCAATACAAGTGTGGATCTACAGTATGACAGCCCAGAGATGAAAGTATTGTCTGATGCTTTTACACCGTACCAGAAAACCTTCAGGCCTCTCACCACTATCCTACATGGAAGACCAGAAGTTGGGAAGTCAGCTTTGGCCAAAAGTATTGTTCTGGGCTGGGAACAGGATAAACTCTACCAAGACATGTCCTATGTCATCTTGTTCCACTTTCTAAGGATCGAAGCACCACACTTTGGTCTTCCTTCTTTTTGAGCTTCATGTGGTCTGTGAATTGTATTTTGGATATTCCAAGCACTTGGGCTAATATTCACTTACCAATGAGTACATACAATGTGTATTCTTTTGTGATTTGGTTACCTCACTCAGGATGATATTTTCTGTGCCCTTACCCCAGCCTTGAGCAGGCCTAAGAGATGAGACCTTGTTTACCACAATAGACCAAACAATAGGACTCTGGAGGTATGGCCTGGAGGCATTTCCTGCCCTTGGTGAGGCAGTGCTTGCTTTGGCCTTGGCGCCTTTCTGGCTGCCTGTAGCCTGGTACACAAGCTGAGAAGAGTAGACTGCCTGCTGAGCTTGCTTGAGACACCTATTACCTATGGATTCCTCTCACCTCCAGCAGGATGGTTTCCACTCACCCCCAGCGCTCACCCCCAGCTGAAGCAAGAAGGAACTCTGGGAGTGGGGGTGGGCTATCCCCTTTAAATTGAAAGCTGAACATTAAAGCATTGAGCCTCGATCAGAAACCTTTGTCCTGCTTCATCACTTCCCGCCCTCCTGTCCCTCTTCCATTCCCAGCCTCTCTTTCAGGTGAACCCGGTCGACTGTGGCCTACGGCCCTCAACAATTTTCTAGTTCCATTCATTTGCCTAAGAATTTCATGAATTCATTGTATTTAATAACTGAGTAGTACTCCCATTTTCCAGCTTTATTTCAGAGTAATTTTTTTCTATTAACATTGATAAGTAGAAAGGCAAAAAGTGCACCTAAGTGCTGCATAGGTATTTCTAACTTTTGATTAATTTTGGACCTGACAAGTACAATTTATATAAACACACATCTTCAAAAACAAGCTTGAAAAGTACTAAGCTTAAGTACTAAGCTTACTTGAAAAATTCCAGATCTCGAATCCAGGATAAAATGATAGCTACAGAAAAAAATAAATGAGACTTTCCCAATTTTCCACTTAAATGTTAATAACTAGAAAAAGCAAAGAAACAAAAAGCCATCCAAAATCACAAAAATACATACAACATTAAACAAAAGTACCACTCCAGTACCACATGGTTGGTTACAGGAGTTGCTTTACAGTAGTAATTTGAAATATGTATTCATAGAAATTTCTATTGCTGTCTAATGAAATTAAGTGATTGTGGCTATTTTTTTTAACATATGTAATAACTCCTAGTTTTAATTGTCAGTTTAACAGTCAACTCTACTAAAACTAACTTCAGCATTTCTAGTGTTCCAATTGTATTAGTTGAATGGCTTTAAAATGTTTTTAATGTTGCAAAAGCCTTCTGTAGACATGGGCAAAACATCTACCACTGACTGAAGCTTAGAAATTCCACTAAAACTCTAGTATTGATAGTATGTCATGTTTAAAAAATCTAGGATAGCCATGTTCATTCACCAATGGTAGAAGCTTTTGTGGATGTCAGGAAGTGCATGCTGACAGGAGCCTGATATAGCTGCCTCTTTAGAGGTCTGCCAGAGTCTGACATATTCAGAGGTGGATGCTCACAGCTAACCATTGAACCGATCGATGGGTTTCCCAATGGAGGAGTTAGAGAGAAGGAGCGGAAGCAGCTAGAAGGGTTTGCAGCCCCATCAGGAAAGCAATCATACCAACCAACCAGAGCTCCCAGGGTCTAAACCACCAGCCTGGGAGCACATAGGGAGGGACCCATGGCTCCAGCTGTATAAGTAGGGACGGATGGCCTTGTCGGGGATAGGTGAGAAAAGAGATCCTTGGTCCCATGAAGGCTGGATGCCTAGTGTGGGGGAATTTGAGGGTTGGGAGGTGAGAGTGGATGGGTAGGTGGGGGTACATCCTCATAGAAGCAGGAGGAGGGGGGATGGGATAGGAGGTTCCTGGGCAGGGGGGAGGAATGAGTTTAGGGGACAACATCTGAAATGTATCCAATAAAAACATCTGGGATAATTTATGTACTTGGCAGGTGTGTATATTTTGCTTATAAATGCACACTACTTCAATGGTTAGGTATTATTTATACTAACACATTTTGTGAATTCATACTTATAAGAAATGTCACATTTTTATCAGTAAAATTTATAATGTTCAACATGTAACTTCTGCATTCTAAAATATTATTTGGATGTCAAATTTTATATTGGGAAAATGGGTGATTAGCTCATTGTCTTTTAGATCCTTCTGTCTTGTAATGTGACAATTTTATTTCAGAGGAAAAGTTTAAAATCAGATTAATCTCTATTGAGACCAGAACCTAAATTCATTTATTAGAGAAGAAATATTTCTTTAAAGGCTGCTCATTCTTTTTATATGGCAATAGAGTAGTTGGGAAAAAAATCATTAAGAAAAAGGATTGGTTCAAATTTATTCAAGCATACTAGTTATTTCAGTTAAGACCTGTAGTATTATATCCATGAATATAAATAATTCTTTCATCAGGGTAGTCACTTGTAGAAAGTGTGGAGATACACAATTGATTGTGATATATTTGTAAAGTTGGTTTATGCTTTTCAGCACCTCCACCTGTCCAGGGTGACATCTTACTCTATGATTGTGATCTTGAGTTTGGTATCACAAAGCTTATCAGTAATTGGACTGAAGATTCAAGAGCTTATTCATTTATATCTCCCTGGAGGAATGACCTTTCTTACAAAAAATAAAAATGTGTTTATCTGAAACAAAGCTTCCTACCATAAAGAGCAGTGTATTTTGTTAGTTGGGGAATACCAACTTTGTTGGAAATTTGTATCTGTATAGAATGGATATATTCTAGGTCTTACTTTAACCACTTTTAAACTAAAAACTAAATCTAAAGGGCAGAACTTAGGTGTTGAAGTATTTCTTTTGTACTGGAAGAGATTAGTGAGTATTGAGCTTTTTATCTACCACTTTACTGCTATTCTCACTTTTATGTATTTTAATGTTATATATATATATATATATATATATATATATATATATGTACATGTATATATTATATATAATATATATTGTACATACATACATATATCATTTTAATTTCTTTAAGCAGGTGCCCTAGAGATAAAATATAAATCGTTCCTTTAGAGCAGTTTCATATAAATCTTACATTTACTTTTTTCTCAGCTAGTGTTTGAACCTTCAGAATTTTATGCCATTCCTTTGTTGCCATGAAAGTATACAGACAGTCTGTCACTCGTGAGCTGAATGACTGGCACTTATTTTTTCTCTCTTAAGTCTCTGATATGGAAAACAAATTAGAATAGTTGGAATGGAAAGGACGAAAAAGAGAGTTTGAGATATATTGGAGTTGCCAGTGGGGTGGGTGTGGGAGGGAGACACTGTGGGCCTCTGTCAGGCATGGATCCTCACGATCTCTGTGCATGACTTAATGGCCTCCTGCGTGTTTCTCAAGACTGGAGCTGAGAGCACTCTCATCGTGTCTTGTTAAAACGTCTCTTGAAGGGGCTTACCTCAAAATCACTTTTTGAGATTTTGACGGTTAAGGCTACATGTGATGTTTGGACAACTTAACCAATACACTTTGGAAACTGGTTTCATTAGCATTCATTTAGCATAAAAGGGAAAATTCTAGAAGCAGTTTGAAACCTAGAAATATATATTTAGATAAAAGGGAAACTAGAAAATAACTAACATTGATTGATCCTTATTCTGTTGTTATTTACCTATTTGCCTCATATATCTGACCCATAATGTGTCTCTGTAACCATGACTTGTATAAGTATACAATAGTAACCACAAAATAATTGTGTAAAAGTAGTTATTCCTTACTAAATATATTTTAATAAAATATTTTTAAAATCTTGGAGAAGTTACTGAAATTTGACCTTCTACATATAGTCATGGTAGAGAAGGTGAGGACAACATAGTTTTGAACACGTTGAAAATTTGCATTTGCTAAGCCAAAAT